AAAAAAAAAAAAAAAGACACATCGTCATCTTAATAGTGAACAGTGTTATCGCACGTTTTCCTCATATCGTGCAGGCCTAGCCAGGGATACACATAACAGAGAGCAACACAGCCACCACAGTCATGTATGACTCACATCCATTGTGTGCTGATGAATCATATCTTACTCAGGTCCATATTTCAACTGTCAAAACTCTGCACTCTTTAAAGGGAAAAACGGCACTTGGAAATGAAACAATCTGAGACATAACAAAATTAATTACACCACCAGCGCATGCATAGTCCAAGTCCACAGTCTCCCACACTCAGTGAGTTGATTAAATGTGACCATCACTATGTAATCATCTTTCATTGAAATCATCAGGAGAGGCCAGGAAAACTGTCAACCAGAATTATATCCACTCAAGGTGAAAAAATGAGTCAGAGATAGTAGTGAGCCTGATTTTAAGATACAAAATCTAAAAACAAAAGAGTATGTTATAGCACACATGCCAGTCAGGAAAACAGAGAACCATATTATCTGGCAAATAATCCAAAAAGGCAGTAAATATTTACCCTTTATCATACACATTTAAATTCTAATATTTTAATGTGAACAAAGCATCTATATACCTTGCAACTCCATGTGAGTATCATAACTTCAAAGATGTAGTTTCTCACTGTCACCATAAACTCTCTGTAACATTCATTCCTCATAATCAGAAAGCCGACAGGCCTAATTTAGCTCAGCATTGCGTGCTGACAGTACATCCTGTGGAAGCTCAACTGTGCATACGAGTGTGCCTGTGTGCATGTGAAAGCATGTATTTTTCTTTTGTTCTGAGAACAAAAACATTGCACTTGCACATAAAAACAAGCTGACACACAGAGCCATACTTTCTGAAGGCCGACAGTGAATGCTGAGGGAGTGATCCATGATAATTTCCCTAAAATGTACTCTGCTCTGTTGCTAATGCTGGGCCAGGGACAGAGGCTGGATCTTTATCTTAATCACCAGCTTCCTGGCTTTTCCCCCCTTCCACAAACACACACATACAACCAGAATCAGCTTCCAAAAATATTAGAATGAGAGAGAGACACACAAGGCATGACAGCAGATGAAAAATGTACATGTAGGTTTCCTGAGTGTCACACGCTCACCCAGAGCGGGAAAAATCCTGAGATGGTTCTTCCAGTTGTTCCCTGCCTGCTGCATGCCAACTGGAGGCTAATGAAGGAAATGGATCATGTAGGAAGACTCCTTTCCGAACAGCTAAAGCAATGACAATACAGTGCAGCCAAGAGACCATATTTGAAATGGGGCGAGAAACAGATTCATCCCCTAGTACATCTCGTGTCATTCACCTTTGAGAAACTCCAGATTTCATCCAAGGCAAGTGAGGGAAAACACCCTGTTCTTGTTCAGTTTCAGTAAATCATACACCAGCTCTCACTGCAAAAGACACAGAAGAGGAACTGCACAAATAGTGGACTCCCTGCAGTGTTAAGAATAACAGCTCTCAAAATCTAAGACTGCTCTCTTTTACAAGCTTGGCAGCAACCTCTGTAGGGACATGACGACACACCACCTACCAGCAAACTCCAACTAGAATGTATGCTTTTTTTTTTATTAACTGAAGCATCAATGAGCAGCTGTCCTAGATAAATGTTCCAAACATAAGTAAAAGCATTTGTGAGAAACTAGAAGGTGGCATTAAGATGACTTAACTGGAGATGAGTCTGGCCAAGATCCCGCAGTGCGTGTAAGCCCACCCTACACAAATTCTAATCCAGTGCTGTGATGAAAGGGGACCTCAGTGTGGATGGCAAACTAACAGCACACATCACTTTCAGTAGTCTAGGAAAAGCTTTAGTTTGGTAGAAGCAAATTTCAAGAACAAAAGCCAACTGGAACTGTGTTTCAGTTTGCACCAACATTATCAATAATTATTAAACTTTTTAAATAAAACTTGCATCTGAGTAGCACTGTAAATAAGTGCAAACTAGTGATGAAACAGCAAAAGAAATACATTAAGAGCCACTGCACTGGTCACTTGCCCCCAGCTGTGAACAGATATAGTACACTAAGTGTTGTGGTGACAGCACTGTGATTATTAGCCTTGGTAGTGCTTCTGCAAGGGCCTGTAGCCAGAAAAAAAGATTAACAGTGAAATTCATAATTATGCCACAGAAATGTAATTAAAATGGCAAACTGAGGGGAAAAACCATGTTCAATACAGTGCCATTGTTTTTCTTATAATTAGAATGGCTCATGTTTGGAAAGAACAAAGTTGCCAACAGAAATCAAGGCTGGGAAACGGCAATGAGGCTACAGACAACCAATAACAGATGCATTTACAATACCTTAAAAAGCCACACACTACAGTGACTGGTACATTTTTTGCTTTGAATCTAAGTTCAAATACAAAGTTTGGTGCCACTAGCCAAGGGAGTGTTTTATTTTAAATACTGGGGGACAATATTTCTTAATAGAGAAGATGAGGATGAAACCCAGTAGTGGGCCATAAGCTTATCAAATAAACTGTTCCATTAACATACAACTCAAAACTTGGGGAACCCCCCCGACACAAAACAATTATGAAGCATAACAATGGTTCCATATCCCCCAGTTTATTTATATCTAAGCTTCTGGTTTAACCAAATGCCTTCTAAGAGACCACAGAGCAGAGAGAGGGACACTGGACGACAGCTGGTATGCAATGTTAGGTCTAAACACACACAGTCTCAGACACATAAATCATGCATGGCCACAACTAAACAAACATGTTTAAGGTTTAAGTGTAAATGCAGACTTTGCATCACTGATGATCACTGTCATCATTCTGGTTGCTCTCTGCCATTTGAATGCCAATTTCTCTCTCCACACACACACACACACACACTGTCTTCCTTATTCTTTCTTTCTAATGAAGGACAGACAAAGGAAGTGTCTATGATCGGAAAAGACTCACATTTCCTCTCTGAGGTTTCACATTCCTGGGATTCTGTCTGAAGACCACTGCAGCCCATTTAAAACCATTCCCCATATAGAGGGATAAAAAAATTTAACTAATGGCAGGCAGGCAGGAAGCTTTGATGGTTCATTTATCATTACAATATTACTGTACCTCTTTAAGTAAATTAACCTGTTGTTCAATTGTGCTGAATGAGAAGACACATGATGAAGCCTACCTTTACCAATCAATACCTGTTGTTAATCTATGATGTGGAAATTCTAAGTTATATTGCACTGGTCTACCATGAGAGCAAAACCATTTAAGAGCCTTTGTTGTGCTCTTCAGTTCAGTTGCTGCATCTGGTAAACACTCATCTGATGTGGTTGCCACCAGAAGATGGGGGGGGGGGCTTTTTTTCCCTCTTTGCACCACAATGACAGACATTGTCTAAAAGACATCAATGCCATTGGGAATAGCACCTGAAAGTGTGATTTAATGATGGTTTAAATAAAAAAAAAAACCCAGCTGTGATATGTGAGCTAAAGCTTAAGTAAGAAAACACACGATGTGCCTTCTGCCTCTTGAAATCTCCTCAAAATATGACTGCACAGAAGACAAGTCAAAACGATAGTCTCGATATAGTAGTGTTTGATAAAAATAAACAAGTAAACAAGTAAGAGGAAACTCATTTCTACGAAGCTGAAGTCATAACAGTGACAAGTAACGTTGGTCAGCTAGCTAGGTCATTACAACATAAAAAGCACTGTTGTCGCAGCTAACGTTCACGTTAATGTTTGTGAAAGAGCAAGGCTCACTGACAGTTTTTCAATGCTACTTAGCGCGCTAATATGAGTTACGCTCAATTAAAATTAAACAAATTCAATCTGATTAAAATAATCTTAAAATATCATATGAATTTAATCATTTATTTCACACACACCAGTGTCCAGCTGTGTCATGAGCAGATGTTAGTTAGCTTGGATGGCTAGCAGGCTAACTTGCTAGCGTTTCCGAACGTAGCAGGACGGGGTTTAAATTCGCTTACCTGTCAACCGCAGCTTTACTGGGCCATTTCTCCTAACTCCTTGGTTAGACATTCCCCTTTGTGTCCCAGCTTGCTGAAAATTCACAAAGTGTCTAATTCATGTGTCAGCGTACAAGTTCGTTCAAAAAGCTATCTCCCAAAACAGTCTCTGTGTTAGCTTGGGGTTAGCCTGTGGTATCACCATAGCAAATCACGCTGACAGTCTATACAACATAATTTATCATAATCATATCGCTGAAACAACACTCTGATCATTAGCCAGTTTTCCATAAAAATGTAAACAGCTGCATTCCCAGATGCCATTCATTCTGCGAGCCACGAGTAACTGATGTAAATAAACAGTTTCCCCTCCATCCAAATGGGTATCTACTCTGCCCGGGCAGCTTGGACTGAAGTTGGTCGAGCTGATGGTGAAGACCCTGCTACGGCAGGCAGAGTCAGGCAGAGAAACTCCAACAGCATGTCCGGTACCCTCCTTCAAAATAAAAGCGACATTAAGCGACGTGTCCATTAATTAAATACTATTTTAATATTGCTAACCAACAACAGAAAGGGGACATGGTTATTTCGAGCTCTGATCAAATTTGTTTTAAATATTCTCATTCAACTAAATCTGCCTTAATGTACTTACAGAAACTAATAGTACATCCAAGGCCTAGACCGTTTCACGTTTAAATTAATTTCGAAATCAAGTAATGGGTTATATTCTACAGTTTTTATTTACACCCGTGAAGGAAACTTTTGTCAAAAAAGTTAGTGCTAGTCTCACGTATTATATAATATAGGCCTACCTTTAAAATATTACCAGGTTACAGTGATACAAGCGATCTGGTAATTTTATTTTGAAAGTAAAATCGATGTTTTTCCGGTCTTACTCTTGATATCTTGACCCAACTTATTTGGACATGAAAGAACATTTTTGTCCAAGTGCGGTCAGAATTTTGTTGATTGAGTCGCTTTGATTGAATGTAAATTGAAAAAGCACCAATCAGTCATGAGCAGGATAAATGCCACAGTGAGATCACTTATCTATTTTAAAACAAAATGTTACAGCCACAATTTTGGAAGACTATTTAAGGATAAGGATAATAATCCAATTTTGGAAGACTATTGTTTTGCCGATGTGAACTCGCTTACATATTTAACCCAAAAGGTTACAATATCAAGATACACTCAGAAAAGACCAAAAAAAAAAAAATCTAAATATGTGGTCATTTTAAACTTTGCGACTGCCACGTTTAGCTACTAAGCCACAATAAGCATAATATTTTTTTGTCCTGAGATTAGATATTGATAATGGTCTACAATACGCAAAATAGCACTGACATCATGTCTCTGGAAATTGTTCTGCTACATCCCGACCTCTCCTGAAGCATCATGGCCATATCCTGTGGCAAACATTTCATTCATAAAATAGTTTACCGGTACTAAAGATGAAAGGGGATCCCAGTTACAGGCAGGCTCACAGTCATATAAGCCTGATGCCACCTAGTGGTGACACAGACGCATAATCACCTCTCATTGCCTATTAAACACTAAAGAGCTGATTATTCACACCCAACATCGTTCACAGGTTTCCTTGTTTAATACACACATCTAGAAAATAATATTATGCATGAATAAAATTTATTTACACTTTTTAAAAAGGGTTGTTTTGTCTTTGTACGGTTATGCACAAGGACTGAGTGTCTAAAAATATAAACAAGGTTAAAATGTTCTCTTTTGTATGTTACAAAGAGCAAACTGGATGTGTTAAAACTGGAAAGTGCTTTGGTCTTCAGGGATCTGGAAAGTATAGCAGTCTCCTGCAGCCCCAGGAACCACAGACTCATCATCATCATCATTCTGAAAGACACAAGAGACAGACACATCAGAGCATTACTCTTGCAGAAGCCAGCTAAAATTCAGTTCAGGCTACTGAATGTGGCACCACACCCCACATTTAATCTTTGGTAAGAATAAAAAAAATATGAATAATCATACAAGTAACTGACTCTCACTTACCTCTTCATGGAAGAATCTGTCTATAATGTTGAAAGCAGCCTTGTAAACACCTTCATTGTCATGGGACTGTAGTGCTTCAATCTTGTCCAAACCACCCAACTCCTCGATCCTTAGGCAAACTTTCTTACTCTCACCAGTTTTAAGTGCCATCTGTGGGGGAATTTAAAAGGCTGATTACTCTTAAAGCTATAAAAATTATTGTATTTCTTGCAGTTTTAGGTAGAATTCTAACATTAGACCCTTATAAATGGTAGCAAACAAGGACACAAAGTGCATCATGGTGTGGCATGACAAAGTTTACCAGAATTTTTATTATTATTATTATTATTATTATTATCAGACACATTCCAATTATTGTCCTTCATCAGCCACTTCAATGAATTACAATTCACTGGTATGGTTGCCATCTAATGTCCGTGCAGATTCTCAGTCATTCAGATCAGAGTAAGCTGAAAAAAAACTATTTAGGTCAAAGACATTTCACCTCTCAACCAAGAGGCTTCATCAGTTCTGAACTGATGAATTTTTCCATTTTGTAGGTTTTAGAAACAGATGTTATTGGTCACAGGTGTCAGATTAACCGTGTCCTGACTTGACATGGTCAGACAATGCATTTGCTGGTTTGTACTGACATGATGATTGTGTGTTTGTTACATAAGCATTTTAGCTATGATTTCAGTAAACAATCTCTTATCTGCTTGGGGTACCTGCTTACAGTGGCCTCCACCACTCAGAGGCCAACAGAATTGAATGAGCCAGAGTCCTGTATTTACAACTTGTAGTCGCAGGGACCCCTGCTGCAACTGTTCCATAAACATCACACAGACCCGTTTTATGTCTTGCAATATACCTGTAAAATATTGTAGATTGCATCCAGGTTGACCAAGATGATCTTGCTGTCTTTGGCTGTCAGTAGGTTGAGCAGAGGTTCCAGCACGTTGCACTGGACCAGGTAGGCCACTTGCTCCACTGTTCCACCACTTGTATAATTGGTGACGGCCCACACTGCCTCCCTCTGGGTCTTGTACTCTCCCTAAACAGAAAATATATCTAATGTTGGAGGCCAGAGAAAATTATAGAACTATACTAGAGATACTGTGGATTAAATGAGCTTTTATTAATAAACAATCCATAAAATTATTATAAACAGTATGTATATATTTCAGAAAATGATTTTACTTATTCATATAATAATAAAACCATGCATAGTCCAGAGCATGTCAGAGAGACACAAGTGACTGATCAGGTTTATTATATTTACTTAGAGACATGCCAGTTTTTACAAATAGTTTATAAATACCTTGGATGTAAATAGCTGTATGTGTCATAAAGTCTATGCAGCAGAAGAAAAGGAAAATAAAATCAATAAAATTTAAGCGATCTTATTCATTAACTAATATGTCAACTTATTTGATTCTGTGCTTAACACAAAGTGTGTTTGAGTGCCTGAAATCCTCTGTACAGCCAAATAACGCAATCCATTGTATCCCATACTACCGATGTATGGATGCACATTGGTGTGCATGATGTCCATGGTTTGAGTCCAGCTGGTGACCTTTGTTGCAGGTCTCCACCTTGTCTCTCTCTCACTCCCCTTTTCTATCTGCCTCTACTGCACTATCGAATACAGGCTAAAAAGACCCCAAAATATCCTTAAAAATGCAGAGGACAATTGTCCCCACATTAATCAATAAATTATGACTAGACCTATAATGAATTAATAAATCTCATTAAGACTAATGCACCAAACCACGTGTGTTTTCTATCTGCTCTTTCATGCTGACCTGTTGGAGGACCTCCACCAGGATGGGAATCAGGCCTGCATTGATAACCTCCTGAATCTGGGTGTCCTTGCCAGCAGTAATGTTGGACACAGTCCAGGCTGCTTCTTTCTGGATGTTGTGCTTGTGGTGGCGCAGAAGGCTTGGGAACATCGCCAGGGCACCTGCATTCAGCACACACTGGGTCTGCTCATCTGTCCCGGTCACAATGTTTCCAAGTGACCGCAGGGCTGGAGTCTGGAAGGTAAAGTATTAATAATAAATAATAATCAGTACTTTTGGACCTGATGGTACAAGAAATTATATTAGGGATCAATAAGATTTTCATCTAACTCGGTCATGATGGTACAAACAGAATCAAGAGAACAGTTACTTCTGATCAGTGACAACAATTCTTCAAAATTTTCCAGAGTTGTAAATGAATATAGGTATAGCAGACAAAGCACTAACTGCACTTTGACATGTCACAAATAACAGTAACTTATAAGTTCAACAAACAACACCACATACCACTATGGAGAGCTCCCCACAGGCGAGAAGCTGTACCAGACGGGGCACCAGGCCAGCTTGCACCACCACCTCTATCCTCTCATTGGAGCCATCAGTCAAATAGGACACAGCCCAGCAAGTGTCAGCCAGGACCTCCCTGTCATCATGGTGCAGGAGGCGCACCAGGGCTGGAAGCAGCTGCTGCACAGTTGTCAGAGAAGGTGCTGGGTTCTTGTTCCGACACAGGTTGGACAGTGTCCAGGTAACATTGCGCAGGTAGCCAGCCTGAAAAGGTGAGTCAAGTGTTGATTTTAGAACTTTAAAGTGTTATAGCATGATAGTTGTTAGAGTGACAACAACCATGATAGTGACAGTGCTCAAAAGGCTCTCTAAAAAGAGAGCAGTTCCCAAACAGAATAAATTCACCTTTCTGACAAATTTCAAACCAGGAATTTCAGAAGGATTAGATTTCAGTGACACCGAATTAAAAAATACTGCAAGTTACTGCAATTTAAATACAGTAAATGCTCAAAAATTTTACAGTGGAAATTACAGAGCAATTTATGCATTGTAGATTACCCTAGTATAAAACCGTACTGTCCAAATCACTAAATGATATTTCTGATTTGTGAGAATCATAAATAATAATAAATTCTTTACTGTATGCACAGACTTCCCAACGTTTCAACAGGAATGAATAGTTTCATAGTGAGTTGGGCAAAAAACAAAAAGGCAACCGATCCTAACAAAACATCAAAACTCATAGTCAACAATAAATCCTCACTCTACTTTTTGCTTGTGTTGATCAGTTATTTAAGAGTTATTTAAATTGCCAAGTGTGCTAGATATGTTCACTTCCTTGCTGCAGATTACTGAGAAGTATACTGAGGAAGTGATCAGGTCACATAAGCTTAAACAGAAGTGCAACCAAAAAAGAATTAGGATCTAATTTTACTGTGGTGACACAATCTACACCAACACACTCCTGACCAAACTAGACAACAGCCCAGTCAGTTCTGAAGCATATCTGTTAACTAGACCTAGACAGTTGGTATGTACCTGGACAGAATGTACAAGAACCCAACAGTCTTTGTGCTATATGGCATAAAGGTCTCTTAAACCCAGAAGTGCAATCATATTTAGAAATGGACACTCACAGGAAACAGAGAGAGGTCAGGGGCTGCCAGCAGTGACAGGAGTGGCTGCAGACCACCATGTTTGATCACTAGGTCTCTGCAGTTTGGTCCATCACCTGATTTTGAGAACAAAAAAAACAAACATTTTCAATCATCTCCAGTGCAATAACAGAACAGAAAAACTCAAAAACATGATTCATATCATAAAAACTATGAAGGGTTACTGTTGACGGTTTCTATGAAAGATGCATTATTGTGCTGAGCAATTCAGAGGTAGGCCTACATTTAAACAACCTTCTTCATGCTATTCTATTATCATAATACGCTGTTTTCACTATGCTAATACACAGACAGACCACGGTTTCATGTCTTATTATAGCACATGCATCATATCTGAGCAAAACCTTTTGACTTTTAAGGCACCCCCTTATACATTGATTCATTCATTTAATACTACAGCCTGGAGACCAACAGCTCCAGACAAATCAAAGGAAACATAACTGAACACAATAACAAAAAAATCCTAACATCACAAATATCTGGGTAAATAAGCTGAACAATATAACAGTGTGTATCAATGAAGCAACAGAAGTAAAGTAAGTGCATTAGACACAAAGAGATGAGTTTTGTCATTCTACATTACCTGCAATGTTGCCCAGAGCCCAAATGGCCTGCTCGCTGATGTGTGGGTGGGGCGATGACACCAGGTTGATGAAGGCTGGGATGGCCCCTCCTTCCACTACAGCGTTGGTCTGCTCTGATGTACCGGAGGCGATATTAGTCAGGGCCCAAGCTGCCTCAAACTGGATGGGGGGGCATTCAGACAATGCCAGAAAACTAACAAACTTTGGAATAAGGCCGGCAGCAGTGATGCTATCAATAGGTGGATGCTTCTCTCTGGAGAGCAGTTTTCTGTACATTAGGGGGAAAAACACATATCAAGTAAATGCCATCACAGTAATAACTAGCTGAAGGCCAATGCAAGGATATGATTTTTAACAGGCTAGCGAACAGAGTGATTTATTACTCAACAGAAACAAGCCATATGTCCTTAAATTACTACGCTTTAAGCGAAAGAGAACTTGAACAAATGATAGACACTAGGACTGTAGTAGGCTGAACTGTCTTTAAGCATATTACTCTAACACTTTAAAACAAATCAGTTAAAGTATTATTCAAAATTATTTTACCTGGCTGCCTGCGTGGCCGGTAGCTGATGATCTGGATTCTGGCTGTTTACACCTGCTACAATCTCTTCCACAGACCAGTACTGAGGAGGCTATGAAAACAAAAATAGAAGAGGATTACTTACTTGCTTACAGCAGCTAAGCAAAATCAAACAGTGATTCAAAATACCCCACAACATTTAGTGGAACACGTTTAGGTGTTTACAGTACCTGATGTAAATTCAAAGCATTAATACTGACAGTGACTCTTAAAATAACTGGGAAGCGTTTCAAAATGAAGTGGAATAACTGTCACGCTGTTATCATTAGGTAGACTAAGTTACTCATTGGCATTTACTCACTGTGTGCAGAGCGGACTGACCTCTTTATATCAGCTTTCAAGATTCACTCTGTTGAGGTTTTGTGCGGGGCTGTTGTAGATCATTCATAACCAACTCAACATAATAATAAAATGTTTCATACGAGGGAAACATACTGGAACCAGCTGTATTTATTTCTGGCGTGTCCTGTTTACTCTCCTCAGGCTAAATGATGGCCAGTGTGTTAAAAGTGGAGCAGAGAAAGGCCTTGCCAGTTGCTGACTAGCTAGCTTATTACCTGAGCGTTAGGATCTTTCTCTTGGAGAGGAGAGGTCGGCTCCTCCGAAAGACTAAGAACATTCCTCCTCTTCAGGATCTGATCGTCTTTCTTTGCTTTACGGAGCTCAACGCTGACTTCCGCTCTCCTGCGTCTGAGCTCCTGAAAATGTCCAAGCCCATAAAATATACGACAGAATTGAGTACGATTACATACATATGCTGAATTAGAATGGTGGGTGTTACTGTCAAAACTTACATTGGCATCTTTTCCTTTGTTTTTGAACTGGTTGAGTCGATCTCCGCCGTCGTTGTCCGCTGACATTCCTGACCGTTGAGCAAGACAATCGGTTCCACTGATGTTAGACACACTGTGGAAGTACGACAGTTTGACGTTAAAAACTATACAGGTCCCAAACAGCGGCTACATCTACTAACGTTACCGTCCTCTTGTTAAAATAAGCTAGCTAGCTAGCGGCCGTTTTAATTGCTAGCGTTAGCAGCTAACCGCTTTTCATGTAATGTCACTCAAGCCGGTTATCTAACACCATGTGGCCCGTAGTACATGCAGCTTGTCTCCTAACATTAAACCCACACCCAAAAGCCCACTGAAATTCATTAAAACAACAATTTTAGATAAATACAAATTACAAGCAAAGACAGGAACTCTTAAAGTGACGATTTACGTTAAAATAACAATAAAAGTGAGAAAAATGTACATACAAACACACGGCATGCACGACGTGCTTAGCTTATCGTTATAAATTTCAGTTTTTTTTTCTAACTAAACGTGACGTCATATATAAGTACCCTGTTTTACGGACTTCTCATTGGTCAGTTGTAATACAAGCACCTTCCCATTACTCGCTGTTAAAAAAACAACAACGCGGTTGTCAAAGTAACCGCTGTAAACATCGCGAGATTAAACGTCCACATCTTTGTGGCATGCTGGTTTCCCATCGTTGGCTATTACGCCAGTTGCTAAAATAGCTAATGTACCATTGATAATCTTTTCTACGCTTCAAAACGTGTAATTCCGCTTGAAGTACTTAAACACACGCGATCCCGCCAAAATGTATTTGTCATAAAGGTTATTGATAAAGATTGTATTTCTAAAAAATGCTACGTAATGACCCAGTGGCCTAATGGATAAGGCATCAGCCTCCGGAGCTGGGGATTGTGGGTTCGAGTCCCATCTGGGTCGGCTTTAGCTTACTTTTCAGGGTTGCTGAAAGGACAAGGTCAGTCACTTCAAATTAAAAATCTCAATTTAGAGAGTCAATCCAACAACAAATTACATCTACTCCCTCGAGTGTCCTTCAGTTTCTAACCTGGAGTATCTTGTTTGTCTGTGCCATAAGCCTCCGTTGTTGTTCAAAAATGATTAAAAACACACCAGTGAAACACACAATTGCATTGAGTGACATATTTCTTCATTACAAAATACCAGACCTGCATACTTGTTAAAATGTTGCCCCATAAGCTCCAAATGACCTTAACTTTTCATAGTATCTGAAGTAGCAAGATTCAATTTCTTCTCCAGGCAAGCTCTCTGCTTTGTTTACAGTCTGCTATAGTTTCTTGTGCGTCACAGAGATGAGAGAACCTTGTCCCTTAAGATATAATTGTTTTCTGATTAGTTCAGTTTGGTATCATGAAAGTGCTCATCTGAATTATACCACGACATTTGCATTGGTTAGCCAAAAATAATGGTTTGTATTCTTGATTCATTCACTTAGATTAACTGTCACTAAGCATTAGAGCAGACAAGCATTATTTATAGGCTACTGTAAAAAGTCTTTTTGGTCTGCCATAGTGAAGGATGTCTCAGAGCTCTTATTCCTCCTCTAAAGACTGAGGAGCAAAGAAACTTCAAGGACAAGGGATGAGTAGGGATACACAAGAACATCGTTTGCAGAAGTCTTTTAAAGACTGACACACCCCAGTATGGAAATCAGTTGGTGACTGAACATTTTAGATGAACGATTGGAGGAAAGGACATCTCATGTCTGTATAAATGTGTTTCCTCGATTTCTCTGTCCTTGCATCTTTTCCTTGCATTTTACATGAGTGGAACTAAGACACAAGGAAAAGATGCAAGTGAGCAAACCTAGCTGCAATTAAGGCCCATTGGCATTTTCCCAGTGTCGAGAGAAAAACCATGGGAAAATGCATTAGGTGAATCTCAATCTCTTAATTTGATCCACATTTCCCTCACTCTTTTCCTTGCATTTTAGTCCCGCCCACGTAAGATATGAGGAAAATAATGAGAGGAAAATTCGCAAGGAGAGATGAATTGAGGAAATATGTTCATATTGGCATGAGATGTCCTTTCCTCCAGTCCTTGATCTGAAGTGTCCAATTACCAGGTGATTTCTGATAAAGGGGCATGTTGTTTTCTAAAAGACTCATGCTGCATTTCCACTATCAGAACCTAACAAGCGGTATACCCCGTATTTCCCTTAACCATCACCAAGCATAGCCTCCAGTGTTGATGCGGCCCAGCCTGCTTTATTTTCCACTGTATGGCCCCTATTCCATTGCCTGGTACTGGCTCTATAAAACAAAGAAGTACCTTACCTAGGTAAATAGAGAAATAGAATAACAGCATTAGTGTAAATAAGCCTAGAGGTAATCCTGGCACAAATGCTACTGATTATATGATTATATTTTACAAACATTACAGACAAAGTGCACCATGTTATCTAGATCTAAATAAGGAAAAGGGTAGAATTCAAAATACAATATATATATTGTTAATTAAAGTGTGCAAATATGCAAAATAAACTTTAGAAAAAAATAAGAATCTAGAAAATAAATTTTCACAAAAACAAATCTTGTTTTACATTATCTTGATTTTATTAAACTGTTAATAGCGGGACCTTTCTGTATGGACTTTGCATGTTCTCCCTGTCTGTGTGGGTTTTCTCCAGGTACTCCACCTTCCTCCCATAATCCAAAGACATGCAGCTTAGGTTGATTAAATTCAATGACTTCTTTGTTAATGTGCGGCCTGAATTAGCAAAGAATATTTGTGACAATGATGTGTCCTATGGCACTATTGCTAATCTTATTGAAAAAAAATCAGCATTCTATGTTCCTTAAACCAATTGAAGAAATGGAGGTTAGACATATAATTCATAAATGTGACAATAAGACATCGACTGACAGTGATGGAATAAGCATGACTATTATTAAATCGGTAATTGATGGTTGTTCTAAACCACTAACTTATATCTTTAATTTGTCCTTTCAATCAGGAAAATTTCCTAATAGTATGAAAATAGCAAAGGTTATTCCGCTTTATAAATCTGGAGATAGACATAATATTACAAATTATAGACCTATTTCTTT